TTTTCCTACGACGTTTACCATGACTCTACGAGATCCTCCTCCTACAGAGTTTACTAATGTGTAATACCTAAACAAGTTTGTATGTATTAAATTAAATTACATATTTAACGCCCATGTTTGGCCAATGTGTTTTGTGTAATAAATTATTCATGAAATTAGTCATACAGTTTTTGTCAGTGTGGAATTCATACATGAAAATAGGCATACACATTTTTGGCAGTGTGGAATTCATACATGAAAACAGTGTGAAATTCATGCATAAAAAGAGCTATACATTTTTTGGGTTATATAAATTCATACATGAAAACAACCATACACTTTTTGACAGTGTAAAATTTAAACATGAAATCACTGACACATAAGATAATGGACATTACACTCTAACATGAAATTAAGGAACACAATAATACATTTACACATTGCTATAAGATATAACGAACAACATATATATATTCTACAGTCTCATCAAATACACAGATATAAAAAAACCACACTACCCACTACATAGTTACAAGTGAACAACCACATTACCCAAAATAGTTATATTTTTTAGCAGTGTGTAATGAATATTTACTGTTTAATTAAGGACAAAATTGGAATCACATGTACGAAACATACAGCACTGTTATTTAGAGTATTTCAAAGCTCTAAGAGTGCTATTTTGGTTTTTTCCTTAAAAAAGTAAAATTCTTTCGTTCATATATTAGAATAATCATTCATTTTATAATTTAATAATATTTTATATTTTATGATTATTTTTTATGAAATAAGAATATTTATTTAATATTTAGAAGAGATAGTATTTAGAAGAGATAGTATTTTATTCAATATGGAGAAGAGATAGTATTTTTATTAAAATATTTCATCCTTATAAAATATCATCGTGTACTTTGTACTACGGAACCTTTTTTATGATTAACATAACACCATAGATATAATAGTTATTTCAGTTACACTAAAATGTACTTCGTATATGAATATCAAATGTTAATTTTATTCGAGTCATGATCAAAGTTGATCAACTCGATATAGTAAAAGATCAAAACTTTAGAAACTCAAATTACAGGTAACAATAAAAATGCATTTTAAAAGTAGAATTAGATTGACATTGTCAATATATTTTTTAAAAAATAATTTTTCCGACGTCTTATGATTAAAGATTACTTTTTCAGTTTTCTATTTAACTTGTTTCTAAATTTATTCTTTTTCATTTTTAGGAATAATAATAGTAGTAACAACAACAATAACATTAACTATTGTAATAATAATAATAATAATAATTTTTGATTGGATATGATCTGATTTGATTTGATCGGATCTGATCTAATTCGATTTGATCTGATCTGATCTAGTCTGATCTGATATGATCTAATTTTAATAAGAATAAGAAAAAATAAGTTGAAGGGAACTAGACCTTAGTCCGGGTGAGTCACAAGTTTGGCCTAAACTGAGAAGGATTTCCTCAGAGAACAATGATGAAATTTGCTAATATTTCTATGCAACCTTGTGATAATCTCGTATCATTTTTTGTTTATTGTATTTAAATCCTTTATAATTTTGTTTTTCGAAAAAAGAGTTATGTAATGCATATTGAAATACTTATTTTGTAAACTTCATAAATACATTGCATTTGGCTAAATTCCATAGTTAGTCCTTCAAGTTTTTGTGCCATGCATGGTTAGTCCTTCAACTTTATAAAGTCCATGAATGGTCCTTCAAGTCACAATAGCAATGTGTGGTTGGTCCTTCCGTCAATTTTTCTGTTAGTCCATACATTTTTTCGATTTTCCATTACAAATATACGTGAGGAACCTTCTTTTATTCATACAATTGAACAATATTTAATATAAATCCATTTTTTTAATAATAAGAAGTAATTCTTATTTTTATTAGTCCATTGTTTAATAATAATATGTCATTCTTGATTTTATTAGTCCATTTTTTTTTTGAAAAGATACACACTCTGTTAAAGTATTTATCAAGTTTTGGTTATTTGCAGTCAATCAGGGTTAATTTGTTATCTAACATTTCAATTACAACGGATCTACATGAAATATGACTCAAGTTTATGAAGAAGAGAGCGTCCCTCACATGTATTTATAATGAAAAATGGGAAAAATGCATGGACTAACAGAAAACATAACGGAAGGACCAATCATGCAACGTTAACGTGACTTGAAGGACTATTCGTGGACTTTATAAAGTTGAAAGATTAACCGTGCATGACGTAAAAATTTGAAGGACCAACTGTGGAATTTAGCCCGTGGCATTTTAAAGAAAAAAGCATTTTTTGTTACTTTTATCTAAAAATAGACACGAATCATTTATATTTGAAAGCTCTTTGCCATCTTTAAAAATCAAATAATACCCTAAGTATTTACTAATTATATTATAATATGCTAGAATTTTATTATTTTTCCTCTTTCTTTTCATATGCTAGAATTATTGAATTGGGAGTCTGTAGAATTTTTTTAGACTTTTAAAATATGAGTGTATTCAATATGAATTTTCAAAAGTTTTTAAAAATCTTGAGATATTCAATAGAGATTTTCCAAAATCTTTAAAAATATTGAAGTATTTAATTTGGACTCTCAAGAGTCTTTAAAAATTTTAAGGTATTTAAAAATCTATAAATTTTAGTAATCTGTGAATTTTGTTGGATTGTCTCTGAAAAAATAAATGCTTCACATTTCACTCCGGAAAATCATTTCTCACAACCCTAATTTCTATGAAATTCTTTCCAGCTTATATCCTTAAACCCCAACCGCTTCAGAAGATAAAATGGACAAAAGGTTGCCGTTCGTCGATTGGGTCAACTTCTTTGGCATACGGTTGCCGTTCTTCTTCTCCATTGACGAGTTCCCAGAGATCTTAGTCGTGGAGGTGCAACAGAACGAAGATGAAGTTGAACTCTCGTCGTAGCGGAGATCGGAGCTAGGTAGGTCTCGAAGATGAACGGGTCGAGTGAGGCGGCGGCATCGAAATGAGGGTTTTTGAGTTCGGGGTTGTTTCCGCCGCCGCATCGGATTGAGGTTTTTGCTCCATCAACCTGTTCTCCCATGGCCTCGCCGCCATCCATCGCTCCAACCAGCTCTAGTTGTTCTGGTCCAAATTGTAATTCTTCAAAGATCCGACGGAGTTTGCCGCCTTGTGAGGCTTGTTCTGGACTTTTTCAAGGTCATCATCAATGGCTTCCATTGGTTGTAGCGGCTGTTTCTGATCTGCACTTCTCTGTTCTTGGGCTTTTCTTCTTCTGCTCAATCATCAATGACTGTGTTTTTTTACTATGAAATTTCTTACATTAGTAATTCATCTCCTCTTGGCGTGGAGGAATAGGAGCAACATTACTATTCCAAAATCTACATGTTTTTCAAACTCATTCTACAAATTTTTCTAATTCTACATGGATTCTACAAAAAAATTTTCAAATTTAACTCTTTGAAATCTAAAAAAAATCCTATAAAATCCTAATAGAATACATCCCCTTAATATACTTGACCCAGTCTCTTGTATGGGTCTATGTCTTGTCCCATTTTTAGAGCATTGCTAGTTTTTCCCTCATGTCAATTCATTATCAAGTCAGCTTTTCATTTTTCTTCCACTTCAATTCCCTTCTCTTTTTAGGGGTAGGCATCCTTTTCTTTGAAATGATCTTTATTTCCCTTCAAAATTTTCAATACTCCCTCCGTCCCCCAGTTTTTGTGCACTTTCATTTTTACATATCATCCAATGCACTTTTTTAATCCATTTTATCTTGTAATTTGTATATTAAAAAATTATAAAAATTATATATTAATAATCTATATGTTAAGACAAATCAAACAAGATAATACATGACTATATTTAAGCTTACACATTGAGAGAATTTGATGGGTCAAAGTGCTTAGATGAACAGTTTCAAAAGTCAAAAGTGGACAAAAACTGAGGGACGGAGGGGATATTATTTTTTAACTCCTTATTTTAATTAAAACAATTAAACTAAAAACATAAACAACTACAATAACATTTACTATTTTAGAATTTAAAATGAACAATTCATTAATATTAAAATAAACTCGACACTTGAATTTCTTGCCATTCTTGAAATTATTGCATGCATTTGGAATGAGTTCGACACTTGAGTGTAAGCCGCAAATGCAGAAAAAGAAAGAACTTAAGGAAGACACAGATGGTTAGAATGGATCTATTGTACTAAAAAATAAACAATGCTACAATTCAAAGAGATGGATGAAAGTGTGTGAAAATGATGAGAGGAGTTAATGCGTTTAAAAAATGATTTTTTTTTTGAATTTTATTTTTTAAAATGGTTAGAATTCATATAAAAATAGCTAATGACCGTTCAGCAGTTAATTTTTGGAGAAGGGAGACGCATGGGAAAACCGGAAGGGGATCATGCCTTTCTCGTTCCTGCATAGGAGGGCGGTGTTCCCCTTCTTCGCGCGGCGCCTAGTAGCATTCCCACAACCCTTCCTCCCCGTGTGACAAGTCAGCTTCCCGTTGGGTCCCCGTCTCCCATACCTCTCAACCTAAGAGTGGAGGGTATGCATATTTTATATAGCTTCAATTATCCGATATTTAAAAAAATAAGATATTTTTGGGGTGGGTTGTAGAGAGAATTGAGATTTTAGAATATTTTTTTGATGAGTTGTAGTGAGATTAGGTGCTTGTTTGTATTTTTTGAGAGAATATTTATAGTTAAAAAAATCTAAATTTTTTTAAAGGCTAACAGCTTGATTTTGGATCGTTGGAGTGGGGNTCATGTTAAACGTTTAACGCAATACCGATGATACACGGATAATAACGAAGGGGTGGTGTTTTACGATCCAATAACGCATGAGGGCGTTAGGCGCATTTTCGGTGTCCTTAAAAGTAAACCCATAGAGTAAAGAGAACCCCAACCCACCTTCTATCAAAATCTCTCCTTGCGTCCAGCCCGGCTTAGGGTTAGATCGTTTCAAATTTCCTGAATTAGCCACTGGTTTTGATCGATAAATCGGACCGAACCTGTGACCAGAACTCTGGTTCTCAATCCGAACCGACCATTCCAATTTTTAAAACTATACTTTTTCAACTGTCTCTCTCAAATGTACTCCGTAGCATTTAAAATTAAGAGCGCGCGCTTTAATTAGTACGGAATAATCATCCTCATAATCATCCAAAACCTTCATGTAAAAAATTCCTGAACATTCACTGAACGAATCCAGAAATTCCTGTCAGATTTTGCTTTATCGTTTCCGATATGACCTCCGAATCATTATTTTTCTGCATTTTTCTCTGCAGATTGTGAATTCGGAGCTATGAATTTCGTATTCGCCGCTTCTCTGTTCGTCGCCGCCATTTTCGCTTTCTGCAGTTGCGCAGCTCTCAAGGTACGGCGCTCTTCATCGTTCTTCATCTTCATACTAGAAGCGTTTCATTTCGTCTAGTATCCTTACATCCGTTTCCACTTTTCCGCATCTGATTTTGCTTGTCCGGAACAGCAAGGAGAAACTTGCGTCTCCAATGACTGGTGCGGTGCCGGGCTTCATTGTGAGAGATGCATTGCGGAGGCCAATTCTGTGCCCAGGTGTGCTCGCATTCAACCGGTTAATCCATTCTCTAAGGTAATTTGCCTTGATCATCAGTTGAATGGACTAATCGAGGACAATTATGATTCTAGGTCATTGAAAAATTGAAAGTTAATTGAGGTTGGGGATGATTCTAGGTCAAGGGGTTGCCATTCAATCGGTATTCATGGCTGACAACGCATAACTCATTTGCCAAAGCCGGTATGAAGTCAAGCACAGGACACTTCCTTGTGACAACACCTAACCAGCAGGACTCTATTACCGAACAACTGAATGTAAGTATTGTTCATTGCAGTAATAGAGTTAAGATCTGCTTCACCAGTAATTTTTGCAGTTGATTGTATTATGTGATGATTGCTCTGAGGTAGTGAGGACTAAATGTGGTGTTGAACTTTAGTTGGAATTTGAATTTAAATTAATGGAAGTTAGGATCTAGAAAATGGTAACAGAATACGGCAATAATTTTTGTTTTTAAATATTTGAGTTTTTTTAATTAAGGGAAGTTATGAATCCTAGGTACAATGTACGCAAATTGAAAAACCAGCTGATCGACTTATATGAATATATTGAATATAATTTTGATTTTTTGGTTTTCTTGATGTATTTAAATACTCCGTATTAGACTTATGTAGTTATGTGTTGGTCTAACGTCTGTGAGTGAAAGCTCAATGGACTCCACACAACAGACTTCTTGGTCTTCAATATGTTTTCCTTGTGAAATTAATAATTGAGAACTCTTCGCCCACTGCATTTTTCTATGCTAGAGAGTACAAACCATGGATCAACATAACCACAAGCATAGCTTTTTTACTTCTGTGTTGCTGTTAGTCGCATTTACCTTATGGCGCCTTCAGATTTATGCTTTGTTCTGTATTTTATGAACTACACAAATATTCACATCCTTGGTGTTGTGTTTTTTAAACCTTCCTTGGTGTTGTCTTATTTTAACCTTACGATGCAAGGGGTGTTAGTATTGGAGAAGAGACAATGTATTACAAATATTCAAGAAACAATGAGCACTAATAATTTTCTTAAATATAACTGCTGCAGAACGGCATAAGGGCTTTGATGCTTGATATGTACGATCTGAACAATGATATTTGGCTGTGTCATTCATTTGGAGGAAAATGCCAGAACTACACTGCTTTTGTAAGTGTACAACAACCCACCAAAGTCCCACGTGGGGCTTTTGTAATTATGTTGTCAATTTAAGAAGCACAATATGAATGCTTCATGGTAGATTCTTTATGGCACTTTTTATTCAATATAAAAGTGGTGCATGATTAACCTGAAATAGCATTATCACGAATTATGTTTCAGAGTTTTTAGGAGTATGCTTTACTCCGGTAAGAATTAACAATCTCTATCATTTTATATTGATTCTAATCATTCTATTTTTTACTGGCAGCAACCTGCAATAAATGTCCTTAAGGAGGTTAGAGTGTTCCTTGAAGCAAACCCTTCAGAAATTGTCACCATTATAATTGAAGACTATGTTGCAAGCAAAAATGGAATAAGCACTGTTTTTAATGCCGCTGGCCTGGGGAAGTTCTTGTTTCCTGTTTCTCTGATGCCTAAAAATGGCGGTGAATGGCCAATCATTGATGATATGATCCAGCGTAATCAACGGCTAGTGGTTTTCACTTCTAAGTCTGAAAAAGAATTTTCAGAAGGCATTGCTTATACATGGACATACTTGGTAGAAAACAAATGTGAGTTCTTTTTTTTCCTTCAATTTTTCATACACTCGTTCCAAAAATTCTGTAGTCAATACTGAGTACTGATGCTCTCGTTTTGTAGATGGGGATGATGGGATGGTAAATGAATCATGTACCAATCGTGCAGAATCACCTTCGCTGAACACGCTAAGTAGGTCACTAGTTCTTATGAACTATTTTCCCAGTGCGCCAGATGTTTCTGAAGCTTGCATACACAATTCAAGACAATTGAAGAGCATGATGTATACTTGCTTTGAAGCTTCCGGCAAAAGATGGCCCAATTTCATTGCTGTTGATTTTTATTTGGTACTTCTATGCAATGTTCACTCCTTTAAGATGGCGAAAAAAACTTTCTTGTTCTATGTCATTTTATGAGTAAATGGACTTTGCAGAGAAGTGATGGAGGGGGAGCCCCAGAAGCTGTTGATGAGGCAAATGGTCATCTAGTCTGTGGCTGTGCAAACATTGCATATTGCAAGGTTAAAAAGTTGAAATAAACTTCTAAGCTTCATTTGACTTTAAAACTAGTTATTTCGTAATGAAAAAAAAAACCCACAAAGTTCAAGGGTCTCTTGGAAACAATAATCTCTTTACTTTCAAGTAGGGGTAATGTCGGCATAGATAGACCCTTCTCATTGAACGTTGTATGCAGGACAATATGAGTTTTGGGACATGCGAGATGCCTCAAGCGGACATTTCTCCGGCTGAAATGCCAGGTTCAGGAGAAACAAGCCTTGCAAATCTGGAAAGAATTTCATTTGCGTTGCCATGGCTTCCCGTGATGTGGTTATTGTCTCTTATCATGTGGTAACACTAAAACCCTTCTTTCCAACTTTTTTTAAGCTGTAAGTGCTTGTAAAGTTGTTAGCTGAAGAGATGCTGCCTTATAACAACACAAATCTCCTTGTCATTGCCATTGGATGATAAAGTTGCACAGCATTAGGGAGACAAATGGTCGAAAAGAAACTGGGATATAGCTTATCAAAGTGTGGTCTGGGTTTTTAATGTGTTGGAAAAAGGGGGGTGTTTCATAGTATTTGGTACTGCTAATCCCATTGGCTTGGGAAGGTTCTTTCGTTTGCCTTACACACATTCACAAATACACCATGGGGTTTGCTAGGGGTACGGGGTACCCTTGCTTGTGTATACCAAGCTTGTCACAGACACACACAAACATCAACTGTCTCTATTCACACCGCACAGACAGTTGATGTCTTTATGTGTCTGTGATAAACTTGGTGTAGTATAGAAGCTGTAGTATCCTTAGTTTTTTTTCTCCAAAAGTAAAACAAGATAGAGGTAGGGGATGTGCATTGATCAAATAAGATCAAATAAGGAAGAATCCCAAAATAAACTTGTGAAATACACACTCCAAATTTGAAATTGAAAATATAAAATCCACGGGCTCCAATCCATGCTCAATCAAAATAATACAAACGATCTGTTTATTTACTGTAAAAAACAAGAAAGCATCTCCGCTGATGTTGCGTTTTGTGCTCTGCAGTACTAAAAAAATTATGGCAATACACATAAAAAGCAAAAATTAAAATACTTGTCTTAGGAACAACTTTTACAATTTGACTTCACCAAAATTAATTTGAAAGAGAAACTCAACAATCTACACATATTTATCTCATAAAAAGTGTAAAATTAATTTTTAAACACCCAAAATAAATGAAATGTTGTTTCAAAGTCGGAGGGAGTTCAATAACGAAATGTCAAAAACTTCGAATCATAGATAACAATGTAATTTATGGATTGTGGGCTGACGATAAACAACTTGGACTTCCATACGATCTTGTTGGTATCATATAGGAGTGGAACTACAACGATTAAGTTTATTTCAAAAGTTGCGTATTCTTCTTTCAAATTTCCTTTAAAAGTTTGTACTGGTATTTTTTGTTTTAAAATCTAATGAAAATGTATTTTTTAAAAAAAAAAAAGAGTTAAGCTTTTGTAATTAAAAGAAGTAGTTAGTAAGGCCGGCCGTGACCATTTGAGGCATGTCCAACTGTACAGGCCCAAAGTTTTAGGACCCAATATTTAAAAAAACGAGTATTACCCAAATTTCTTAAAATCATACCATTGCCCTACATTTATCTCGGTGATAGTATGACTTTTAATCGAGGGTCTTAGACTAAGCAGCACACTGAACAAAATGATCTCATCTTAAAACCCACCAATTTTGAGGATTGGTGGAGCCTTGCTGGACAACAATTGAGGACAAGAGTGGGGTGCCTGGTGGACTCGACCGCAACATTATTTTTTAAAGGTTAATGTGAAAGCTTCAATAGATCATGTGGAGAATGTAGTTGGAATGGGTTTGGTTCCTCGAGATTATAATGACATCTTTGTAACTGTCAGAAATATTACTAAAATGCCCTTGTATCTCTTTTTCCCTCCTCTTGATCTATTCTATATCTCTTTAATTTGTCTGTTTATATTTTCTTTTTGATAGACATTGTAAAAATTATGGGCACTGTTTACAGATCTAGAAGATTGTAAAAATTATAAACATGAGACATTCTAAAAATTATAAACATTGTTTACTGATCAGGAACATTAATGACAAATGCAGTTGACATTTATAATTGTAAAAATGTCTCTTTTTAGCCGATAATATCTTCGTGATGGACATGTAGACATTCATTAACAACAATATGGGACATTATTAGGGTAAACCATGAAAGTCACTAAATCATGCATAAAGGACATTAACAAAGTAGTGATGAGACACTGACATTAGCATTTTAATTTGTGATTGGCGGCCATCGAAGGACGGTAGGACATGATGGAGCAGTAAACAAAAAATCATATTTAGGGCATTTTAGTACACTAGAATTAGGAATTAATTATTAATTAACTGATTAGATACTAGTTATGAAAATGAAAACTTGTGGTGCTATATAGGAAATTTCAATATGCTTTAGTGTTATTTAAGTAAATTTCCCTATTGTAAGTTTAATTATAGCTATGTACGGAAGAAATCTCTCTCAATAAAAGTAAAAAAGTATGAAACTACCAAAATAGAAATTTTAAATCCTTTAAGATCAAAATGGAAGCATAATAATGATAGTGTAATATAAGAGTACGCGTTAACGGTGTGATGAAAAAAGGTGATGTTAGAATAATATGACAGTGTGATCAGTCAACCGTTGGCAATCCGCGACGGCACTTTGGTGACCGGCAGTGACAGATGACCGTATAGCAATGGTAGTATGACAGTTACAATGTGACAATATGGTGAGCGTGACAGTGTAACAGTGGTAGTGTAAACTCTTATTTTGATTTTAAAAGACTTGTTTTTATTTTGATATTTTTATAATTCTTTCTCTTACTCAAGGAGTTCTCCTTATGTACGAGTACGACACATAACAATTCTCTCCTGTTTGATGAATTAAATTCTTAATTTGAATTAGAAACTTTAAAATAGATGGAATAGAATATGTGAATTTAATTTGATGACATAAAGAGTGTTAAAAAGTGTCACCGTATTTAGGACTGTTCACATTTAGGTCCACACCGAAAAAATCGACTGAACCAGACCGTTAGATCCAGACCGAACCCGGATCAAATAGATTTCGGGTCAGTCTTCGGTCCATAAAATTTAGGCAATCGGGTTTTGGTTCGGTCCGGTCCAAATCCGAAACAATTTAGGTCCAGACCGATTGAACCGAATGGACCAAATGACCCTATTGGACCTAAAAGACCTAAATACTAAAACGCTACTTTTTAAGTTACGTATTACATTTTTATGCTTTATTTTAATAGATATTTTAATTTATGTAGTTAAAAAGGTTTTTTTATATGTAATTTTACAAAAATTTAAAAAAAGTGTTTCACATTTGTTTTTATTATTCTACATATAAATAGTTCATATTGTGTATCTATTTTAAGGTTAACTATTTTTTTATTCATTTTCTATTTGAATGATTTGAAGTAAAAAGACTAAAAAATATTTAATTGATCAAAATAGTTAAAAAATATGTATTGTTTTCGGTCCAATCGGTCTTGACCGGTTTGGTCCTAGGTATTTCAGTCCGGTCCAGTGCAGTCCAAACCCAAATAGATTTAGGTCCGGTCTTCGACCCGTAAATTTATTGAATTCGGTCTTCGATCCGGTCCGAGTCGGTCCGGTTCGGTCTGGTCTTGGACCGATAAACAGCCCTACCGTATTATATAAATTCTGTCACAATATAAAATTTAGAGTTGTCTCTGAAAATTAGGGGCCCAAAAGGATATAATGAAAATGGGTCTTGTAATATATGAAGTAATAAGAGGGTGTTTGGGAGTGATTAACTTATGGATAAAATGATTTTCACAAAAGCTAAAAGCAAAAGCAGCTCATAGGCTCATTCCTGCTTTTCCGAAACGGTGTTATATGTACAAAAATAGTGGTGTTGAAAAACAGAATTTGACATGCCAAATAGAGTAAAATTGCTTCTACTCAAAGCAGAAGCTAAATTATTAAAATCAGCACAATGTCAAACTCTTTCTAAGTAAAATCTACCAATAAAAATTTATTAACAACTACGGAGTATTAATTTTCTCAAATAATTTTTTCTAGGGTTATAGTTAAAAGTCAGGGGAATCTAAATATTGATACTCTTCATTTGTTTGTTATGGAGTATTAAATTCAAAATATTTATAATTTTTTAAATATGATTAAATCATTTTTAAATTTTAAAATGAACACGCTTTTTGAGACAAGAAAAAGCACATATTAACCCCCACTTTATGACAAATAATCTATGATGATTTGTTTGTGTAGAAAATAACAAAAATTATTTGAATTGTAAAATTCAAAATCCCTAATTTGAAAGGAAAAGAAAAAAAATCATATATAAATAGGCAAACCAAAAAATACAAATTCATCATCATTATACACCTCAGCGGTAGAACAAACGCATTCCCAGAGAAGAAGAGAGAGAGAGAGAGAAAGAAGACTCTCCGGCGAAACGTTAACGGTAAACCAGAGATTTTCCGGCGAAAAGCTTTTGTTTTCGAATTCAAATTGGAAATGCTCGGAACGACGCCGTGCTGAATCCGCCTGGAACTCCCAAGTTGCCACCGCGAGATGGCTGTAACGCCGCCGTATCTCGCGGATTCGCTATCCTTCACGTTTTTATTCCGTTGTCGATCCGTAATCTCCCCAGACCCTTCATGAGATTCCATCGAGTTATCGGCAGAACAATTTGTTCTTGATATTTATAAGGGGATCGATTTGGGAAATCGAGTTTGCGAGGATGGTGTCTGGAGGGAAGGGGGGGTTGGAGAAGCTGAGGAGATGCGTGAAGATATTGTATTTCATGGTGGCGATGGTGGCGTCTCTGCTAGTGTTGTCAGCGCCGGTGCTGGTGGCGGTAGGGGATATCATGGTGCAGTGCGTATTGATTTCGAGCTTCACCTGCATCAGTTGTTACAGTTTCCAAGAGCATTTGCATAGATACACATTCAAGAGTTCATTAACTGACATTCCTCTTGTCTCCATAATCAGATCTCTCGTCATCACCTGTATGTTGACCTTCTCCCGTTTGATATTTGTTTAAAAGTTTCTGAATTCTGTTCACAGATTCTGTTTTGAATTTAAAGATAGATTGATATGATTCATAAGATTCTACCATGCTCTGATTCAAAAGTGTTTTCAAATTGTGGTATCGCGAGGATGAATGACCCCTTTTTTTGCTTTCCCTCGTCACTTTTTCAGTCTTTCTTTGATAAAGTCAGTCTTTCTTTGATAAAGATATGCAAGTAGTTGACCCCTTTGGCCAAAAAAGATAAAGTGATCTTAAGGAGTAGTGGAGTACTGAGTATCCTGCTGTTCTAATTTGAATTTCTATGCAAATTGTTAAAGTTAATTGTTTGAATCTTCATCCTTTGAATTACGTGTGTTTAGTATGAACTACCAAAGTAATATGGCTGCCTGTTATTTCATCAATTCAGGTGTGTATTCCATGTGCAATGGTGCGGCTCTCTCACAAGGACCGTATCTTGGAACTGTGACCCTTTGTTCAGTCATATCAGTTCTCCTTCTTTCCGTTAAAGCTTGTGTTTTCTCTGTCAATTCGTACCTTGAAGCTGAGGCTTCTACCTCCATCTCTAGGCAAAAGCTTCATTTGAAAAAGTCATGGGGGATGCCAGTCTTGTTTCTCTCATCTGTTGTGTTTGCTCTTGGACATACCGTTATTGCGTACAGAACAAGTTGTAGAGCTAGAAGGAAACTCTTGTTCCACCGCATGGACCCCGATGCTGTAAGTAGATGGATAGATGATGATACTTCCACGTCCTAGCTTCTTTCGTAGTTGAAATGCACATGAACCACTAGTTCCTTTTAGGTTTGTTTGGATATCGGAAGAGCCCGGGAAATGAAAAAACTTTGCTAGCAATGCTAAGGGAAGTTATTTCTTTATGTTTGGCTCTACCTTAGAATATACGGAGTACACAGAAAATGTAATATGTTTAATTACTTTTGAACTTCTTCATATGTTCAGATTTCATTGTCCTGAAATTTTCATTAACAAACGAAATATATTTGAACAAATATTAGAAAATAAATTGTCTCAAAATTTCTTTCAGTCCATCTTTCCTTTCTATTTTTCCACCCAGCTTTTGTATCTGTAGTATGTTCTGGAGTCCAAACAGACCCTTATGGGATTGTAATTAGGATGCTAATTTGTTATCCCATTACACCTACCATCCCATGCATTTGACATCTCAATCATGTGCTAATTTGTGATTATCGTTTCTATTAATCATGGATCACTTCATCTAATTACAGGTCCTAGCCAAAGTTGTTTTCTCAGGATACCAGAAGGTTCCACGTTCTCCAACCCCTTCAACTGGGAAGGCACCAAGAAGTGACAACGAAACACGGGCAAGGTCTGCAGGATTGGTTCATGTTGATGGTCAACTCCCTGTCAGATTGCTGGCTGATTCCGACAGCTTGTTTATCTCTTGTCTTGGGCTTACCATTCATTACAAGCTATGTTTGCCTGGGTCACCTCCACGTTCATTATCCTCCATAACCTTTCTTGACAGGCCAGCAGTGACTGCTTTATCAAGAAATGAACAGAAACTTCGAAGGAGCTTCAGTAACCAGTTTCATTCTTCATCTCTCTCTACTCCTTTACTAGAGACTTCTCCCAAGTCTCCTGCTATGTCTGAAGATATACCTATTTTAAGCCTATGTGAAGGCGGCGCCGAGGATCAGTTCAATAAGTTGCCATATCCACTTAACACGAGAGATTTGGAAGCTAATGGTCAGCTTGGGATTGTTTTAGTTCATGGGTTTGGAGGGGGAGCCTTTTCATGGAGAAATGTGATGGCCGTGCTAGCTCGACATGTGGGTTGTACTGTGGTGGCTTTTGATAGGCCTGGTTGGGGATTGACATCAAGGCCCCGTCGTAAGGATTGGGAGGAAAATCAATTGCCTAATCCATACAAGATCGATTCACAGGTAATTTTCTTGCCTTTTAGGTGTATTCTGGATTTCTGGTTGCATTGTCAGAGAAAAACACATTTATGGCCTCTGAACTTCAAAATTCAAATGTTAGCCCTATTCAGACTTCTAAGGGCCTCAACGTGTAATGTGATATATTGAGCACTCCCATACTAAGTTAAGCTTCATTGAGTTTCTTTTGGCATCTCAGTCTAACTTTTCATCAGCGAATGGAATCACAAGCCATTTGGTTGTCATGTGTGCAATCGATGTCAAAAAGACAGATGCCAAAAAATATTGTAACCCTCATTCTTTCATCTTTAGAAGCATAGCACTCAATTTCTCACAATGAAGAAAGTTCTTTTGGGTTGTGCTTGTGACATAAGTTATTCAAATCTTGAATGAATACTGAACTAATAATAAATTGTGATGATGTATTGCGTTAAGAAGAATTATAAGATACCAAAATTTATTGGCTGGATGGGGGCTTAACACTGTCTTGGCATGCTTAAAAGACTTAAGTTAAGAAGTTGGGAGGCTTAATGCCTTAGTAGGACGGGGTTAACAAGAAAATATTGGGGTCTTAGATATGTGTTTTTCCATGCATTGTCTCGCATGACATCCACCATGGATTTCTAGATTTTCTCTATAAATATGCGACTGGTTAAGATTTCGATTGAATCTTTGTGGTGTTCATGTTTCAGGTTGATCTGCTTCTTTCTTTCTGCTTAGAGATGGGCTTCTCCTCTGTCATACTGGTAGGCCATGATGATGGAGGGTTGCTTGCTTTAAAGGCTGCACAAAGAGCCCTGTCATCTACTGGTTCAATCGATGTGAGCTACTCTTCTCTTGCCTTAGGTTATACTAAATACAAATTTAAAAAATTGGTTGAAAAATGTTATTGATATGAAACAGCTTGTGTAAAAGCCGTAAAAGGTGTCCTGTGAGACCTTTTGTATCGAGAATGAATTTTGAAGTGATTTTACAATAAAAAAATCTTTTATTTTCCTAGTTACCACTTCCAACTGTTTCAAATTTTATTATTTTACTGGATTGCTGACATATATAGCATTGATCAGGCTAAAGTGATATAAGTAAATGTGTCTCACACTCTCATTTCATTGAGTGTATAATGCATTTATCGCTACAGGTGGAGATCAAGGGGGTTGTATTACTGAGTGTTAGTTTGACAAGAGAACTGGTCCCTGCCTTTGCAAGAATTTTGTTGCGCACCTCACTTGGGAAAAAGCATTTAGTTCGTCCTCTTTTGCGAACTGAAATAACTCAAGTGGTTAATAGGCGTGCATGGTATGATGCTACAAAGCTAACCACGGAAGTCCTAAGTCTTTACAAGGTATGCTTGCCACGTGTTGCTCACATTTTGTAAAACCGAGCTAATATCATAACTCTACCAAAAAATAATTTAAAAAATATACTCCAATACTCCATACCCGTGTTCCATGAGAGTTTTACATTGCCAAAATCTTAAAAGCTGTACCTTGACGAGACAATTTTTTGAGGATAATGTATTTGACTATTTATTAAGAGGCCAATTTGTTAAGAGATAACATTGAAATGGAAAGTTTTTCATGCATATCCAATTTTTTCCCCATGTCATCTCTATTCTAGATATTTCAAGATTGTTCTTTACCTCGATGGTAATGGGGTTACAGTATGACTGATCCTTTTTCTTTTCTTTGCTTGGTAAACAGGCCCCGTTATTTGTAGAAGGTTGGGATGAAGCACTGCACGAGATAGGGAAATTGTCATTTGAAACTGTGCTTGCCCCTGACAACGCAGCTTCAGTCCTACAATCGGTTGTAAACATACCGGTACTTGTAGTTGCAGGAGCAGAAGATTCCCTTGTACCATTAAAATCTGTTCAAGTTATGGCCTCAAATCTTGTAAATTCTGTAAGTCTCTTGTTCAATGCATGTTTCCCTCTGTTCTCAAGCAACTGCCCATTATAAATGCGCCTTTTTCACATATAGATGCCCATTTAACAATCTAATACTCCCTCCGTCCCAAAAAGTCTTTCGTGTTTACTATTACGGCCTCTCGATAACTCTTATTTGTTTGCGTGTTTTCATTGATTATTTGATAAAATAAAATATTCTTGTCACCTCTTATTTTGTAGAGTTCTCGATGTAGTTTTTAAATATAATTTTTTTGTGTTATTTCTTTACCAATTTGCAAATAAAATGATTTTGAAAATCACGGGGTTTTGGACGTTAATCAAAGTAAGAAATTCTTTTTGGGACGGAGGGAGTAACACAATAAAGGTATGAAATATGATGTCACCCTCACATGTGTCTTTCGCTCTTGCTTGTTACTTTGAATTTGTAGAAACTAATAGGGGTATGCTTGTCAATTTATGACAAAATTAATTCTCACCTTAAAACCACTTTTTTAAGGGCCTTTTTGGGTTGGAGGGTTTTGGATGGCTTAGTCTTTACTCTATATCTTGATAAATAAAATCTTTCGAAAAACAATATCATATTGTGCTAATATTTCATTTGTTTTGTAAAATATAAAACGTATATCAAAATTTAAACTATCCCCTCCAAAATCCTCCGGGTCTGTTTCACTTTTTGGACGGGAATGCCTTTGGAAAGCGTAGTCTATAATCTTGACACGAGATTTTATGAAATTTTGAATAACACGCGTAGTATCATATGTGATCGTTTACCATTTCAATCACCGTTGTTTTTTAGAAACATTACGTTTATAAAATTGTGTTTTGTTTATGAAATACTGCAGAGGCTGGTGGCAATTTCTGGTTGCGGACATCTGCCTCACGAGGAATGTCCCAAGGCTTTGCTTGCAGCCATGTCGCCGTTCATAAATAGAATTCTAGGGGTACCCGAAGCTTAACCTTCTTCATGCAACTCCTCATAAGCTTCCAGACATGTCTCTATTTCGTGTGGAAAAGCCAACAACCAAAAAAAAAAAGAAACTTTTTTTTCTGACCAGTCTACCCTCCAATCTCCATTGTTTTGTTGTTCTACTTATAATATTCTAATCTCCAGTGCAGCACATCAAAAGGTAGAGTCCCAAGATTCCTCTCTCCTTTTGGGCATTTTTGATGATTATTCTTAGGTTCTTCTGATGGGTTTCTCTGTTTCTTCAGTACTCTCTCTGGTGTAGTATTTAAGGAGGGAAGGGTCTGTTTGGTTACTTCCTCCCCTATTTGAACCTGTTTTTTTTTTCTTTTTTTCAATTTGTCCATATGTGATGTGGAATTTCTCTTTGTACAGATGTAGAGATCATTGTTTATGCAGATTTTGTTCCCAACTCGAGTGCCTTTACGTACATTGTTTGGATTCATATTTGATTATTTTTATTTATCTCTTTTTTTCTTCATTTTGGTACCCCCCCCCTAACTAGTAAGTAATTATTTTAGTAAAAGCAAGTATATAATGGGAGAATAATATCCTGCTCAAATGATTTTGTGTGTGTGTGTGTGTGTGTAAATTATAACCGATCAAGTATTTAATGCATCTGTAAATGATGTAAGAGTATGGATGGAGAATTATTCACCCTATGCTTGGTTTCTCTATTCCATGTCCCAACAACTTTAATTAAAGTACTATAACAAAAGATTGGGAAAAAAGTACTCAAAAAAAGCATGTTTAGAAGCTTTGAAAAAAACCAAAAGAATTCTTTTAATACTCCGGTTCATGTGATATTGAACTTCAATGTCAAAACATGATTCAGAATACTTGCGATGCTCTGATTGAAAAACTGATAGTCCATATTCTCTTTAACCACTCCAAACACTCCCCTTGTCTCACTTCCTGCATACCCAACCCTTCTCTGGCCTACTCCCCTCCGCCTAATGGCTACAATAATGACTGTAGCCAATTAGTGAAGAGTAGGGAGAGGATGTAAGGAAATTTTTGGGGTAGGAATCACCAATTGTTTTGAATGGGGTATCGTAAGTGTCCCGGATCATGCTATGATATTAAATACCAATGTTACATGAAATAGCCTTTTTTTTTAATAAAGAAGTTAGGACAACCCTCCTCCCAGAGACCAATCCCATTTTTTCTAATTATTTCAATGTAAAGAGCCCATGAGACTCCACCTAGAAGAGAAGTGTAGTTGGGACTATCATTACACATGCTCTAAATACTCCACTTTCCCCAAAGAAAAGTAGTGTTTGTTGAAAAACTAACTAAAATTGTTAAAGATAATCAATAATGAGAAATTTTAATTAGGTAACGCCTTACTTTTTTCTTATGGGCTATGGCTAAAATAATGATTACTTGAGTTCTTCACCAAAGACTGCAGTCTTATAACGGTGCTTAAATAAGTTGAAAGTAAAAATTTAAGTGTTGGGTTTAATCAATTCTCAAATCACTTTCTGCCATTTCCAGTCTTCGATATCTCATTTATTAAACATTCTTATTTATATAATATTTCATTTTCCGAATTACATTATTTCAATAATCCTTCTAAAAAGTGAAACTATGTCAATGAAACTAATCTAAGAATTGAGATGAATTATTAATGGAACAACTGTTTTCTTTAAAGTATTGTAAAACAAAGGGTAGTGATAGCCACACCTGCCAAACCACTTAAGACATCCCACAACTAAATACACACTGTGATGCTTAGTTATGTTATTATTTAAAAATTAAAATAAACTTTATTATATTTAAAAATAATATTACATACAAATTTTTAAACCTATCTAGCATTTATCTCATTTTATTGCTTTTCTACACACACACACACACATATTCATATATATATTCACTTCATGGATTTTCACCATCTTTTGTCTCCTTGCTCCGTTGTATTCCATTTGCACAATCTTTTACACTTTTGTACCACTTTTGATCCAACTTTTATTCTTTTTACAACAAGACATAACTTTTGTGCATTTTTATAATTATGAATAAAACTTATAAAAACCATTGAGAAATTGATTTGTTTAATCCAAAATTGGACAATAACACATTAAATAAAGAGAAAATAAGTGAATACAAACCGAACTTATCAATATTCCGCTTCTGAATTTGAGGCACAAAATCTAGTAATTTGACCACTTAAAGATTTACACTACAAGAACAGTAGAGTTTAGCTCGCATTTAATTTGCCACTTGACTAAGTGTGGCAATAAGATTTAACACTTAAAGATTTCCCCACATTTATAAGAGTTGTTATACGTAATTCCATGTACCTATATAATTAAGTGTGCCAAATCAATTATATGTACTTAATTTAAGAAAGTGCATTTAACTTATTAAATAATTACTCTTTAGTAATTGAAATTCTAAAATCACTCACTAAAAACCTTTAAAAAACGTGTCCTGCATATTCTAATTCACTAAAAAACTAGGAGAAATTACCTAAATAGGACCAAAACATAATGACTTTCTCAATATAGGAACATATGTTTTTATTTCCCAATGTAGGACCTTTGGTCATTATTAATTAGTCATTATTCAATTGACCCAATTGAATAATACACACACACACATTTTAATTCGAATTTTACATCTTTTATATTAATTTTTAAACACAATTAAATTAACTTTCATTAGGTTTATACTCAATGACTATTAAATTTATATACAAGTTTTTATTTTTTTAGGGTATTATACCAATATGCATTTCACCCTTAATGTTATTAAATTAAAAAAAAAGGATATATAAATTTTATTATTTAATTAAAATACAAAGCTTATATATATATTTTTAAAACTACTCACATTTTCCCTTTTATTACTTTTCAACGGCAAAGATTTATATAAATGATAATAATTAAATGTGCATCATTATTAAAACTATAACGTTTATTTCAAAAATGATATCACATCTAATAATTAAAGAAATTATATAACGCATACCATATACAGATTATTTATTAGAAAATTAAAAAAATAATTTTATCAAAAACATATAAAATGTTAAAATGTATGTGAGTCAATGCAAAGCACATTAAGATTAATTTAGAAAAGAGTGGAGTGCAATAAGTGTGGGGTGAGATTCGTCTTGTTGTAGGGTGTGACTATCACTACCCTAAAACAAATCTTATTTTGGGTCTTGGGATACTAAAATAATTTTAATAATAACCTCGAAGGACGCTCTGATCTAAGTTTTTGAAGTTTTTGATCTGATTGAATTGAATATGATTTTATCTGATTAGATCTAATGTAAATGAATTTAAATTTGATTTCAATTAAACTTCAAATATTTACAACAATTTAATAGGTTTAAAGTATTATAATTCCTATATACATAAAAATAATTGAAATAAGCAAATCATTGACAATTGCTAATCATTGATATGTTTTTGTAGAAAATATGGTTGTTATTCTACACAAATATCGCATTCTATCTGCATATCACATAATAATATATTGCATGTTAGAAATTACACATCACTTAAAATCTTAAACATTAATATTCCTTTCACCTCTACTAATTTTGTCATAAACTCACTCTTGTGTATATTAAACCATTTTTAAGTTTAAAAGTGAGTCGTTTTGTATAAAAGTTTTTATGGTTTAAAAACTATTTTTTTGTATAATTTTTTTATAAACAAGTATTTTTAAACAACTTCTATAGAGTGTGAAAAATACAAGTTATTAAGCCTTAAAATTGCTTCCATGCATCACTACTACAAGCTGGGAAATTACTAGTAATAATGGTTTGTAGTTGAAATATAATAATAATAATAATAATAATAATAATATAAAAAATAAAAATATTTAAAATTATAATATTAATTAAGATTTAGGTAATAAAATAATGTGATTTAATCAAATAGTCATTATTATTTAATCTTTAAAAAAATATTAATATTATTTTTGAATATTTTTTTCTTAATTTGATATTATTGGATTTGATCTAGTCTGATCTGATTGGATCTAATCTGGTTAGGTGTGATCTGATATAATTTTAATAAGAATAAATAATGAACAGAAAATATAAGTCCTACGAAACGGACCCTTATAGTGTAAATTTTATCCTACATTTACTAATAACTTTAATTAGATTGCTTTGTAAACTCTCTCTTCTCGAATGTTCTTAATTTGAGTTTTTCGAGTCAAGTTGGATGAACTTTAATAATTAATTACAGTATATGAGTATAAAATTGTATGTAATACAATAAAATATTAGACTGTAGATTTTTTCGCAAAACAAATTTAACAAAATCATTTCAATAATATGTAATATAACTTTTATTTAATTTAAGGTTAAAACTTTTTCAGTTTGAATCAAAAAAATAAAATTGATTGAATATTTTGAGGCGGATATAGTAAATATCCATAGCATGGGGTGACTCATCTTCATTTTTTTTATATAAAAGACTAATGTGTTCTTTCTTTTTCTAGACTCCAGTGACAAGAAATCCACTTTCCAAAATTCCTAAGAAAATTCATCCAAATTCAATCCACAATAAGACAAAAGCATTGATTCTTTGTGCATTGTCCATTTGGAGGCCCTACGTTACTTATCACTGATAGAGAATACTTGATTTTTTTTTTTCATTACTATTCCCTTCATCCCAATTTAAATTTCCTGATTTAGTTTACGATATTTGACTGAAGTTATTTTCAAAACATTTTTTATAAACAATAGGGTAGAATTAAAAAAATAAAAATTATATATTTAAAACATAAATCAAAAGATCTAGTTAGTGATAATATTACTATATTATTTTATCAAATAATTAATGCAAATAGAGAAGGAAAGTGAATTAAATTTAACTTTGTAAATACTCCCTCCGTCCCAAATTATAATGCATGTTCACTATTCACATGGTCAAACTTCTTTCACTTTTTTCTCTATTTTCATTAGCAATTTGATAAAATAAAATATTATTGTCGCTACTAGTTTTGTAGATTTTTTGATATAGTATTTTAATATGTAATTTTTATTTTTTAACTACATACCATTTGTCATATAAAATGATTTGAAAATAATTTCAGTCAAACATTGTAAACCGAAACAGACGTTATAATATGGGACGGAGGGAGTAGTAAACATGCAATTTAATTTTGAACACAGAGAGTAACAAATATTTTTGCATGCCCATTTCAACAAACTAATTTGGATTTTAACCAAGTCATAAATCGGCTTCACTAACACCTTGCGTGCTTAGATGGCGTACGAGAGCCAGATCGAATGGCCTTCGTTTTAAACTAAAAATGCTTTTGGTAAATCACAAAAATTCGAACAAGGCCAAAATGTGGCGAAGTATAAAAGCAACTTGAGAAGGGAGTAGTACATCAATGACATACTTTGAATAGAAACCAATGTGACTCAAGACCAAAGTACATACATAAAAG